GGCGAGGGGAGAAATTTGATTTCCGTGATTTTTTATCGAAATAACAGAAACAATCTTTGGATGTATAGAGACTATCTTTTACCTTTAGTATCATTGCCTTCATGAAATGGCCTTGCTTTTCTTCTCAGTAGGCGCCAGACTTGCACCGATGCTGTTCAATCTCCCGACTGCGGAGGACTGCGACCATAAGAGGGACATGCCAGCCGGAGGTGGGCCATTCAAAATCGGCCAGAACCGCTTACCGCCACGGAATGGCCTTGTTTTTCTTCTCAGTAGGCTTTCGCCTGAGGAGGATTATAATAGCCAGAGCGACTCTATAGCCAGAGGCACCGGAACACCACCACGGAGTTTACTTGATGCTACAGCGCTTCTTAAAGCTCAGGCATCAACCTTCTCAACCGAGGAGGGAATTGAACTTCCAAATATTAAGTTGTCTTTTTGGCCATGCTTGAGTAAGTAATCGCTAAGGTGTCAAGCATACCTCATTCTGCAATACCTTTTAAGGGCCAAACAGCTACACCACCTTGCTGAGGTAGAAGTTAAATTAAAGAAGAGTTGTCTGATTCAGAAGGAATTGAGCGGAGTCTTTCATCCCCCAAATCGACTCACAACGCCTAGGAAGATAAAAAGAGAGAAACGCTTTATTTCTGCTGCTAATTTGAGAGAGAAATGGCAGATCATTACCAGAGGAAGGATGTTTTAATAGGGACACAATTTTAAAGCGAATCACGTACCAGAAGTAGCCTCGGTGGAGAAGAAAAGGTGTCTTGGTGCCAACTATCTCCCTAAAGAGATCTTTGCCAAGTAGATTTTTTCTGTATCTTTATTATTATTAAGAGTATATTAAAATGAATGCTGTGAGAGTAAAGACACGCCTTAAGGAGATTATTTGCCTCAAAAATGAAGGGAATAAACAGGGAAATGCCAAACATGCTTGCCTCTCCGCCTATTTAAATGCCCCTCAATTTTCTCATTCTTCGAGCTGACCGGTTTGAAAAAATACCCGGAAAATCAGGAAAAAAATGTCTAAAAGTGCTACTTTAAAGTGGCCTTAAAATAAGAAGTTGTTTGGAAGAGTTGAAAATTAAGTGAAATAAACGAGCCAAAGCAGCCAATCCGCTGTGAGGAGGCGCAGCCAATCAGGCCTCGCCCTCCAGTCCCGCCAATTAAATAATTAGTAATTGCAGTTAAGATTAATAATGTGTAGTTAGTAAGTCAGTTTATACCCTGAATCACTCCTCCACAAAAAGGGGTAGACCTGTCAGTATCTTTTTCCTCCTCCTTCTCTGCTTGACTGTGGTTATGCACAAGCGCTCAGCTCAATGTGGTCCATGCGCTCTTCACCTCCTCCTCATCGTGATAGGCAAGTCTATATTTCCGCTTTTTCTTAAAAAGGGGGAAAGAATTCCTCCGACTGTTGTTTATTTTACTAAAATTTTATTTTGAAATAACATTCTCAGGCACAGTCGTTTCGGGGAGAGCCCTCAACCCCCATAGGTCAATATGATTGGTCACTATTGTACTGGAGACCTCTTTTGAACAGAAGGAATCCCTTCACATCAGCTATCAAATAAAGTGGAAGAAAATTTCGTTTCTCCCAAGATTAGCAAATTTTCTGCCTTTTTTTCACATTTTTCGCAGTAACTCTGCGATTATATCTACTCCCAGTGACACCGTTACCCGACACCCGTTGGGAAAAAAGCGTCTTTGTTTAGTAATGCAACCAAGTCCTCAATGAGTTCGTCTCTGAGTTAGCTGAAAGAGCAGTGGAAGCCGTTATATTGAGGATTTTATAAGTGAAAGGGAGAGACCGAGAGGGAGAGAGGAGATTACAAGTAACGCCCCCCATGACCCCAAAAAGGGACCTGGCCAATGGGTGAGGAGAGGGAAAAAATCGCCGTTTTATTTCAAATTTGATTGAGTGTCACGCTAAAGAGCTGTGAGAAGTGCACAAATGACAAGTTATTTGCGCCTGTTGACTTTCATTGGCCATTACCCGCGCTCCAGTCCTGTCCTGCCCTGTCCAAGCGTGCTCCAACTTGACTGCTGGTGTATTACTCTCCAGTCAAGTTGCGTACTTTAAATTTGTACAAGAAATCATAACTACCTCTGATTAATGGAAAAAAAACGTGCAAGTTGGGAAAAAAATTATAGATAGCTCTCTCAAGTAATTTGCTTGACCGTCAAGATTGGAAGGGGATAAAATCATCCCCACTGCACTTCACTTTGTAGCCGTGGATCAGGTATCCCAAAAATGTTCTCCCAACCGAAACAATACTTCTTCTCTCATCTTAAGACAAAACAGAAAAAGCCAAAAAAGTTTATTTTATACTTTATATTAACTTTTTCGCCCGGAGAGGCTAATCCGGCTTTAAGCCCAGTGAGTGGGTTGACTCCTACCGCACTGGCGAGTGGATAAGCCTGCTCAACTTAAATGCAGACTTAAATTTCCAATGCAAAAACCTCCCCAGACACGGATAAGTGCGCAACTTCTAAGTGGTCTGTCGGTTGACCCCAGGGTTGTTTTTTCCTTCCTTCCTTACCCCTTCCCAAAAAAGCATCCACTACCAACAAAGTATCTCAACGCATCAACAGGTAGGGTGGAAACAGGCTCGAGAGGTAACATATACAAAATGTCAATAAAAGTTACGGGGTATTCCCTTGTTCTATTAAATTCTCGGGCAACTAATAGTTCAGTTCACCTTTTCACCCATTTTAGGTGTACTTGGAGAAATGGAATTTCCACCAGCTTTTCACAAGGAGATGGAAAGTGTCGACGCGGTAAACGGAACGCCTGCAGTACTCACCTGCCAACTTAACCGCAGTCTCTCACCCAGTGTGAGTTAGTCACCCCCCCTCCCCCCTCCCCTACACACTCCTTGATTTGCCCATCCGCCGGCTTATTTCATACCACGGTGTGAATGCTACTTATTTCACCTCAGCGTCAAAGATTTGGCTGATGGAAACACTGCATGACATACCCGCATTTCCACGCCATAGTTCCACTTTCACAAAGTAATGCATAACATCCGAGACAGTTTCTTTGCCAGTAGATTAATTAATGAGAGATAAAGCTATTCTTGTCTATCAATCATCTTAAAAATAATTCATTTGTCTTTAGATTGCATCAAGCCCAAATAATAGAACATTAAAGTAAGTCTGGACGCCTAAGTGATAACAAATAGCTTCTAGAGGGAAAAGCAGAGGGCTTTTAAGTGAAGGATACCTTCTGGCCTCTTTTATCGAACAATTAAAGGCACCTCAATAGGCGGATTTTAGGAGGAAGAGGGGGGAGGAACTACAAATGCAACATTGTCATTTTATTTTTCAGCTTAAAATAACCAGTAGTTTTACAGTAGGCCTTGCAGGAGGTAGCAAAATATTGTCGCCTCTTGGAGGAGTGTAGGAGAGGATGCAGGGTCTTAACTTTCAAGGCCCGAAATGGAATCCGCCTAGCATATGCCGATTTTCCTTCAGACTTTATAAAATTTACACTTCTGCTGCCAACACTGATCTGGTTAAAAATGTTGACATGGTTTACCTCCTGTCTCTCTCTCTCTCTCTCTCTCTTTATCATTCACCAATAACGCCTTTCCTTAACGCCGCACCAAGTAGTCGTGATTTCTTCGCCTGGGAATTAAGGAGTCACCTCGTTTTCCAGCCATCCCCACCTTGGGCAAAAGCAACATACATGAAAAGGTAGTACGACACACTTTCAAAAGAAAATGCCACTATCCGATGGTATTTGAAGATGGCTTAGTGGTTTATATCAGACTAAAATATGATTACCTACCTCAATGTCTACTCTAAATGCTGAACCGGCTTTGTTTACCATCCTCTGTTTCATTTTTTGCCCGGTTTTTAAAACGTCCGATCTCCGACTCATAATACCGCTCAATTTGTGATGTTAGATGCGGTAGAGTTGCGATGAATGGGCGATAAAAAGGGAAGCACTTTCTATGCTCGTAGAGAAGAGCGAGCAACTGGAGGTGGTGGTGGTGGTAGTAGGCCCAGTTACCATTGTGAAGAGGCAGCGGAGTGGCATTTTACTCCAGCAATCCATCTTTGTAGCAAAAAAAAATCTAAAAGAACGCCTCGTTTTATGGAATAAAATGTCAAATTTTGGCCTCTGAATGCACCCCCCTCGGTCATGGCCCAGGAAGGGACTTGAAATTAGACCGCCCGTGACTTCGAGGTCATAGTACATGCGATCATTCAAATTAAAAAAAAAAAAACGAATAATCTTAACTTAGTCTGAACACAGCCACCAAGACAACCGTATATGGTACAAAAATAAAAACTGCCTATCAGGTCAGGCTGGATTTGTATACTTCTTAAACTGCCGAGTTGCGAAGACGGTGGACCTGCTAATCACTCATGTGGTGCCGCTAATTTTTGATCGCTGCAAGTTGACATGGCATCCTTACTTGTTTGCCCTAGACAAAAAAAAACATCTTAGAGGTGCCACCTTCCTTATAATCCCAAATATGTAAGCAAAGTTTACAGTTTGTCGGCGATAAATTTAATTATTCATGACTGGGGTTAAAACCTGTTTTCCCCCTCGATGTCCACCCTCACACACACACTCGCACACAGTCCATGGAGTGTTGATACCCAAAGAAATTTGTAGAGACAGACGATTTATGCTTGCCTCTAGCAAGTTTATCACTAGAGTGAGAGTTAGCGCCTCCTCTCCACCATCTTGCCACTTGGCAGTGGGACAAAATCTGCAATCTGAAGTAGGGGGTGAAAATGCTCACCTAGATGTGAAATCTCCGCCTAGCATCTCCTTTGATGATCCTGCCTGTTTCATCAAAATTCACCAGTTTGCTACAATTTGCAGCATAAGCAAATAATTGGAGGCGCAAAAAAGGGGACCGACCTAATTCCGCGTGGTCAATAAGGAGGCGAGAATTCGATGACTACCTCCAGGGTGTTCCATCTCTGCTTGAAGGGCAGTTTTTTGGAAAAAGTGCTCCAAATCAAAGGATGCGTTTTTTAGTGAAAAACACGGTTACCTAAGACCAGTGGGTACGATCGTGGACAATGTTGCAAGTCCGCGAATAGGCGATATTTATTCCCCACTCAAGCCGCAGAACACCGCATTGAAGTGGCATTTCTTTATCCACAGGAAGCCGAAAAGAACTACAAGTGTAAAAAAAGCGGACATTCTGATCGCCTTATCAGCTTTAACAAACAGTGGTTTGGAGTTTTATGACTTACGCAAGGCGGACTGGAGAGATAAATAATGACAAAAAGGAAGGCGAGGGAGTTAATGATCCACAAAGACCACAGAATCTCATTTCATATGTAAACTTCTCTGCATTCTCTCTCGCCACTTGGCAGAAGGAGGAGGAGGCTAAATAATAAAAGGTCTCTCCTCTAGCCCACTTGCAAGATTCATAGCTCTCTTGCTTATGAAATGCCGTATTAATATTTTATTCACCTCACAAACTTAACAATTAGTCATTTTGAAGGAAGCTCTTGCCCTAACCGCCTCCTCCGTGGCTCTCGAGACGCCAATTCTCTAGGCGTAATTACTTCAACTCCACCTTCAAATTGACTGCCTGACTTTCAACAGCTCCCCAAAAATTTACCAATCATCTTCACCTCCGATTTAACTGTTCCCCCTACCTTCCCCCCGCGACCCCCTAGCCCCCTGCCAAAAGTACACATGTCAGTACTGACTGCTTCGTTCTTGATATATTAAAAGGTCCATATTTTGCTGGGTTTACTCTAACCTCCTTGCGCGACGCAAAAAAGGCATTGGCTCATTTGATAAATAGGTAAAATTGCCTGTCGTACACACACACGCACACAAAATCGCCCCTCGAGATTACACTGATGTGCATGTGAATAAAGCTGGCCGAATTTTCGGCAAATGAGCCTTTCAAAAACGTTGGAGTCACAGAGAGAGTAGAATTCTGCAGTTTCCCTCTCCTCAGGCGAGAACCTCTGATTATGTGAAAAGTATACTACTCATTTTGCAAGAATCACATTCTCAGTAGTAATGCGTTTATCCTTACCTATCGAGAAAAAAAATTATCTTCTATACCATCAAATCGGGGTGTTTTAACGCGTACTTTAAACACCTTTAAAGATTACATGCATAAAAGAATTTTTCCTTTTTGTGATTATTGCAGGAGATTGTCAAGTTGTCGTGGTTAAAAATGCCAAGACAGCTACTGGCACGGGGCCGGATGAAAATAACCACAAACGAGCGCATCAGTATTGTGCCTCAAGCCTCCGAAAATGTCTTTCAACTACGTTTTGACCCAGTGGTGAAAGAAGACGGAGGGGAATATCGATGTGTATATAATCATAAAACAGGTGTCAAATATAAGGTCGTCGTTGTTAACATTCAAGGTGCGTTCATTTCTCCTCATGTCATTTCTCTCCATGGTGGGGCAATTTTTTGAACAAGTGAAATGTTATCCACAGGCTCATGGCACACTTTATATGTCTATGGTGTATGGCAGCTCCATAATAAGGCTCATTTTAAGCCTGGATGAAATGATACATTGAAAGCGATTAAACCTGCCTCATGGGAGAATTAAATTTTCTTGTTACATTAAATAAAATAAAAATTGCTCAGGTTTTTTTCCCGGTATATACTGATCAACTAAAGCTAGCTGTACCTCGGTCCATGAAGTAAACAGGCGTGAGACCTCCTCCCTTGGCCAGCCAGTCATGGGCAGACACTTTGATGGACTGTGTTAACGTGAGCTGGGTGACAGAAATTAGCTCTACCTCGCAGTTCATACATTTACTGAGGGGATTTTGGAGGTGGTACTATGAGTATTCTCCCCTTCAGTTCAACCCAAGGTGGATATTGACCCGAGAGGTGAATTGGAATTGCTTGAGGGTGAGTACGCTTTTGTCGTTTGCAACGCCTCTGGTACCCCCTATCCCCAATTCCGATGGTGGATGCTGCCCCTCTCCACGTATCACAAGCACTGCACTCAACAGGCACCGGGAGCTTATGGTGAAAATGAGGTGACTGTCACATTTGTTAGTCAGATGTCTCACAACTTGAGTCCGTTCTCCCTACAACCGCCGACTGTTCCGAGCACCTCGCATCTCGCTTTGATTCCGGTGCATGAGATCGCCTCCAAGTACAAGCAAAGTAAGTGACTCCTTCTTTTTCTCCTTCATTGCTTTAGTTATTTGGAAAAGGAAAAATTTTCCCTTCTCTCAAAATTGCGTACTTTCACCCTATCCTTCCTAGAGAGGTCATTTAAAAGTAATTTCATTATGCAAATTAAAAGTAATTGCCACCCTCATGCAATTTCAAATGTTTATCAAAATTGACAGAAATTAATTTTTGTTGCCCCATATACGTGTTGTTTAGCAAAATCCGACATTATGTGACTACATGAGACAAATAATCACTGAACGCCTCGTCAGTGGAGATTTTGTTCTGCCGGAAAAAGCATCACCTCCTCAAGTACCAGGAGCTGAGTATTCGGTCGTATGGAACGAATTAACTGCCACCTTATAAAGGTGGATTGTAAGCACCCGAAACCCTACCACTTTGAGGCTTCTCTGAAGAGGGAATGTGTTGCCGGCGTTGGAATGGTGAGGTCCACTAGCACAGCTTAGAGGCCAGGTCGACCGATGGTGGTCCGTTATCAAAAGCGAGAGTTTGGGATTTAGCCAAAGTATCAAGTAGCCCCTCTTTTTTCTAATGAGCTTTGTCCCCGGCACCCACTCCGTCGATCTCCTGCATCAGCCATCACAACGTAGTTGGTGCTGTAAGAAGACGATATCTGACTGCAACACTACCGATCTCTCTTGAGGATTCCACTGGATCTAGAGTTCTGCCATGTCTAGGGAATGTGGTGGGGAATGGTGGAATGTGCAGGCCCTCACATATGCCCATCGCCAGTGGCAAGAGCACTGGAGATAAGTCTCCGCGTCTGTTCCTCCTCGTCACTCTACTCTCATCTCAGTTCTGCCCAGTCATTATACATGTCTGGGTGTTATCTAGCTAGTAGAGAAGTGGAAGAGGCATCGCGAGTTCATAGAAATGATGGACAATTCCGTAACAAACTTTTTCAGAAAGTTTATGGTTAGTGTTGCCTTGGGTATTAATAGCTTTTTGAAGACCACGGGACTTGGAGGTGGTTTCTGAAGGTGGACGTCATTCTCAACCTTTCTGCTAGAGGTCGTCATCGCTTCTCCCATCCGCAGTACATCTCCTCCCCTCAGATCAGGATTTATCATCCAGCAGGAAAAATCAGGGTAGATGTCCTTAAAGATTGGGTTTGCTTTCCCCTTCCGACATTGTAGAACCCTAAGGAAACCAAGCGAAGCATTCGATCAAACGGTCTGAATTACTTATCACCTTATAAAGTGGACTGTATGGCAGCGGAGTGCCATCAACTCGCTTGAAACAGCCTAATCCTCTCCCTGTCCACTTGTCTGAGGGTGTAAATCTCCCCATTGCTACACCCAAGTGGACTCGTGATAGCATCTAGCAGATTCGTTGCGAGGCAATTTATATCAGTTAGATCCAGCCTCGTTTCTACCTTTTCATAACATACATTCTCCCTTAATTATCTCTTCTGAATATCTACCCAATTTTTTAAATGTATTTTTGTCTGTAAATTACTTTTTCTCTCCAAGTTACTGATTGCATTACTTAAATGCCTACTTATAAAAGGGAATCGGATTGTGGATGGCTTTAACCGCCTATTTTTTTGGCTCCTTTTGCTTTATAAAACTCGTTTAGCACTTTAGCATACCTTTTTAATACAAACGAAAAAATTTTGAACCTATTATGTCATTTTTGAAGTGAAGTAAACCTACTTTGCTTTTTGTTTGCAGGGCTAAGATGCTCAGGTGGAATCAGTCATTCACCCACTGGCGTGGTAGTGGGGCTATAAAAACGCTCTTTCTTAAAGGTCTGCGGGCATTACTATATGCATGAGTTACTCCCGCTTTTTGTCCGTTTTGCAAGCCACTGCTTGTGACCAATTTGTTGGCTCTTTTTGAGGCTTTACTTCGTCTCCACTACTTACTAAATTGTCTCGTTGAGGCAACTTTTACCGGCGCGCGGACAGTACCTCTTGCTGCGCACTTTCTCCTGGAAGGAAAATCTTATTAAATTTTGAAGCAATATGACTCTCTGGGCTAGTAATATTAGGTCAAAAAGCGATTGGTTACAATCCTGCTTAATAGGTAGTCTCAGGGTAATGGAGGAGGAGGAGGAGGAGGTGGAGGAAAAATTCCTCTCGCATCTTCAAACGCCCAATTAGGTAAAAAACAACTTTAGAACAACTTTTTCCTAAAATCTACTTCTCTCTTCCAGGAAAACAAACCAGCTGTTAAGAACAAAACATAACTGGCGCCTTTTACGGTTGTTGTAGACATCTTCGTACGCAGTGGGAAACTGATTATCAACGCGGTGAATCGGGATATGACTGGGTGGTACTTCTGTGAGGCTCACAACTCCGTCAAGCCCTCGGCAATTGAACACGCACTGCTGACTGTCCATTGTAAGACATTTCCTACAACCGACTGCCTCCGCTCATCAACACTGCCATCCCACTCCCATTCTCCATAGATCAGGGGTCATTCTTTCGAGTAATATGAAGGTTAATTTGATAGACGAACCTCTTAACTACCTTTCCAATTTCTTTAATGAAGACAGTTGAAAGTGGTGCCTCTAATTTGCCTCCCATTATGTAAGCGCCTTTGACAAAATCAAACCTACAGCGGCAAGGCGAACACATACACACACATTGCTTTAGATGCCCCTCGGGTTTTCCTGCCCCAAAGGGAGGTCTTTTTCGCACCCTACGGAAATGTTAGTCTGGTGTGTGAATTCCAGGCCTTCCCATTAACCGAGGTAGAATGGCTTTTGGATGGCCGAAGACTTGACACCCCGGCCTGTGAGAGGAGAGGACATCGGGCAACCTCGTGCTGCACTGGTAGGCTTCCATTTTAGTGCTTGATATGCTTGCCCTTCATCATCTACCCACAGTAAAGACGATTGAGGGATTACCTTATCATACGAGTGAGAAGTGGAAGCATGGATTTGGTGATTCCCTCAACAACCTCAACTCCCACACTCCGTTAAAGAAGGAGGCGTCCACGAAGTCGCCAGAACAATTTCGTAATATTAACTTGACCCAATCGAGTAATGATTTGACCCTCTATGGCAGACGAGTGAGATCAGTGCTTCATGTCTGGGTGACAGAGGCCAGACAATTTGGACGCTACAGCTGTCGCATGCAAACCCGCTACGGCTTGGCGGAGGGCTTTATCCGACTGCGAAATAAAGGCAGGTTCCTCATCTCTTCCACGATTTGTGCATTCAAGAAGTTAGTTCATGCGATGACAAAACTATTGTCTATCTTGAAGGTGGATTTCTCTTCGAGCCGTTTGGCTATGAGGGGAAGCGAGCCAAACCGAAGGATGCGGTGCCATCGGCAGTTGTGGCACCGCAATTAACGCCTTCTGTTAATGCGATGGCCCCGTTTATTTTTTCCAGAACAACGAATTTTGCTGAAGGTAACACAATGCCTCGCCTTCTACTCCCTACCGCGGCTTTCCTTCTTGTATATTACTAGGCTGCTAGCTGTGATGCGTCCCTCTCTGTATATTCTGTAAACAAATAAACCGCCTCCGCTTTGTGGTGTTGTCATAATTTGACATTTAAAAGGAGGCACTCGAAAACATCAAAAGTGGATAAGTTGGGTGGAACCCCACATCCATTTGACAATTTGCGGTGATCTCATATTGCCCCTGACAGATCAGGCCTATGCAGCAGACGAGGGATCCTTCACAGCACCCTTTGTTTGAACCATTTAACTGCTGGCTGTAATGGATTTGGAGATCAGGCTTTCTCGTGGGGAAGGACTAAGTTCGCCGCTTTGGTTCGGTTTTCCTCTGGGACGAATAGACGTAACATGTCGTTTTGTCACCCATAAGTTACGTTTTTTTTTCTGGCCAAAAAATAGCCTCTGGCCCAGCTTTGCTTACACCCCCACCCCGGATTTAGTCCATACGGAGTGTCCCACTTTTTTTCCTCTTTTCAAGTCACCTTCATGGTGAAGTCTAGGGGTCCCTTTCAAAGTTGCTTTTATCTTTTGGATGTTAGAAGGAAGAATATTTTTCCTTCTTTCATTACTGGGCAAATGACAAGCAATGTCATCCGAATTGGTGTGTACAGTATCAAGATGTGAAAAAGTAAGGTAGGCTAACCAGTGGTTAATTTGGCATCCCTTTCCCCCATTTCCTTCAGGCGAGGCAGCTGTGATCCCTCCTGACCCACTTAGAGGCATGATCCAAGGTAAACAATACCACAAGCAGAAGAATTTCGATTCGTTAGTGAAAAGTTATTTGATCTTCATTTACCCAATTAAGTAGAGCTGATGAAAGAGGGAGAGAACGCAACTGTGGGAGGAGGAGCTCTACAAGCGAATTGTTTACTTTATGACTGCAGTGTACCTATCTCGGTAGGGAAAACAATGAGATTACTAGAGCCTTTCAAAGACCAAGCATTTAATTGATGATGGCGCAAAATATGTTTATTCTAGTGGATGAAGTAAAAAATAGGTTAATAGTAATTTTAATGTCCCTGATGACTGTCATAATCTAAAGAGAATCGGTACATAGGCCCTTGTTCTTCTTTTAGCTTTAGCTATTCCTTTTACTGCGCTTTAATTAGCCATGCAGGTTCCAGAGGTTACTTAATTTTCGGGGTCGGGAAAGGCTGGAGATGCTGTTCACTTAAGTCACCGCACAATTATGGGAGGTGGTTGGTCAAAGAGGGCACTTCAAGTGATTAATGACACCGATAAGTCCTTAGTAAGTAGGGGAAAGAGTTATCTTTTGGGTGTTTATAAATAAGCTTATGTTATTGACCTTTCACCTCTTTGAGTGGTGGGGAGAGGCAAGCGGCCAGACTGCACCAACCTTGCGGCCGACCGAGTGCCACCGCTTTCCCTGGGGGAACGGAGACGAATCCCGAATTTTTTTTGTTATGCTAACTCCTCCTCCTCCTCCAACCACTACTGTACAGGGTAAGATGTCTTCCTCTGGCCAATCTTCTCCATTCAAAGGTCTTGAAATGGAAGTAGAGGAAAAAAATAACAGTGATGAAGAATGTGGTTTATATAGACTTTATTTGTAAGTCCATAAAATAAGGTTTGATTCCTTATTTCGCTTAAACCTCCTGAATTCAGGATAACTTTGACCGTATACCCCCGTCCAAAAAAAGTCAGCAGTTTTTTCAAATAAATGTGATGGTTAGACAAATTTTTATTAAACAGTTTGCAATTACCTGGTTCCTTTTTTCCCCATTCTTAACAGCGGAATCCGTGATGTGGAGGTTAGGTCTGCAACATTTCCTCTTGGAAGGTGGAAGCTTACGCCACATACCACGGACTAGACTGGGACAACAGCCAGGATATTTGTCTCATTTTGGCTTGAAGCTTTCTGACACTATTAATTATTACGGAGTCGCAGAATCCACAGACTATTTCCACGAAGGTGTATGCTGTGATGCAGAACACTTTTGTCTTAGCGCTAAATAATTCTGTTGCAAAATTTTCGTTGAATACTTCATCCATGGGCTTTAATTTTTGAGTTTATTACATAAAAGGAGGACAAGAAAGCTTGAAAATTACCCGATTTGGAGGCAAATTTTCCTGAAGGCGGAAGCATAGGAGGAATTTCCCCTCCTCCTCTTTTATGAGGTGCACAAAATTGCAATAGTTTTAGCAATTTGATAATTTTACGAATTATAACATTCAAATTAACTACTCAAAACTACTGATTACAAAAAAATGTGTGGCTGCTTCATCGCTCCATACTACTGAATTGGCCGAAGCGGTAAATCAGTAGAATAATTTGCCATTTGTAACAAATCCGAATTGGGCTTACAGGACAACTTTCTCCATAAATTGCCGATATCTAACGTGGGTTAATCATAAAAATTTAAAGACTGCGGCCTTCCAGTGTATGTTTGGGACTAAGGCCAAAGAAAATGGGAGGTACTGTTGATGCCTAGCTGAATTAGTACATCTAATTTCTTATCAAGGCATGTAAAATGTTTAATAGGTATCATCCGATCTGTTAGTTTGTAAAGACTTCTTTCTGATAGGTTAGTTTATTAATTGCTAAGTTGGCCGCTCTAAAACTTTAGCATCAAATCAGATCAGCGCATTAGAATACTTACTTCTCAGTCGATAGTTGAATAGTCTTGGAGGCCTAATTCGTACGTTGAAATGAACATGTTAAGGAAAAACAAGTGGAAAAGACCTAAAAATTAGTTGTCTAAAATTCGCTAACCAGCTGGAGATGAAATATGTAGACAAAATAAAAAGTAGGGTTTTAAGAGGCCTTACTTCATGAGAGGCGAAGGACGATGGAAGCCAGAGACTTTCATGCACTTCTCCATCAATGGGGAAAGAGTAAAATCACGATTGTCAGCTCATTTAAAATTGGGGATATGTGAAATGGACAGTTTTACAGCCATTGAAAAAGAAAAGTTGAGCCTCAGCTTGGCCAGTAAATCCCCTCTCCCTTGCCCCTGATTGGCCGAAATCACTGACACCTGTCATAACCACTCGATGACATTGAATCACCTTCATGGTTAATGTTGTGACGCTTGAATTCCCTTTTCCACTTTATAAGTGTTTGGTGGAATCATTGTTTATCCCCTTACTTCATCTTTTTATTTCCTCAGCTCTTAGGTAAGGAATTACAAGTTAAATCGTGTGTCGAGTGCATTTAGAGTCTCTAATTATCGTTTGAAGCAACAGGTTTTCGATCCCCTTGGTTACTTTGCTCCTACAAATATTATGCTAAAAAGAGGAAATTTTACCTCTTCACCCTTTTTCTTGCTTATTCAACGAGAAGAATAGTGGAAAAGGGGACTCCAAAAGTTACTCGAAGTGGATACCAACTTTTACTTGAATGAAGTAAAATTAATCCACAGACTAGAAATCCTGCAAAAAGGGGAAAATCAGTTGGACAAAATAAAATTATTTTTCACCATACTTTATCTCTGAGAATTTAATCCTACCGAGCGGCCTCCCATCAGCGATCATTGCTAGATGTTATCACCTCTGTAAATTGGCCATATCAATCAACATTTTTGGGGTCTGGCAAAGGCGGAGCAATTAAAAAACCCTTTAACGGGCTTGCAATTTTAAAAAGAAAAACAAAAATTCATAAGGGTTAATCTGTCTACCGACTCACATTTACGGGGACGTGGCGTGAAAAGTGAGTAGATGCGGCCAAGGGCCAAGGTCAAGGACATTTAGACCATCATTAAGGTTAGATTGACAAGTGAATGTTATTGTGAAGAGGCAAATCAATTTTCAATATTTTATTATGTCTTTATTGTTTGTTCAAATCTCATTTTTGGTTGCTCGGGCACCGACGCCTGTGCGATTTCACCTCCGAGGGGTGGCATGGCTACCAAGGCAACCCATTGGCCCGCCAGCCGATCTGTCCGTCAATAAAACAATTTTGGTCCTTGAATTATGATTTCTTTCAATCTTTAACATTTTCCTTTTTCAGTAAATCCAACTACGATAAGGGTGCCTGATTAAAGGTGGAAATGGTCACACCCTGGATTAATTGTTTTGGGCTTGGTGCAATCCCCCATCCAGCTGTGAGTTTGCAAGGGTACTCACTAAGGTTTAATCACCATTTCTGAGGCCAAAAAATCTAAGATAGGAAGAATGAGCCAATAAGACCATTTAATTTTGGGGTGGAAAGTGAAAGCAGACAGCCTTTCTCAGATCCTATCTCTACAACCTCTAGGCACAAAACAATCTAACCTGGCATTTAGCCCTGGAAACTGTAGGGGGTGAAAAAAAGTGGAGGGAGGCGCATTTCCACCCAGACTCAATTCAGCTTTAGATGTTATCGCGTTAGGGCCTTTCAAAAATGTAAATCACTAAATAAAAAAATGTTGCCATCACCTAGGCAGTAGATGCTTGGGTAACCATTGCCGTCGGCACTGACTTCAGTCAATAAGAGGGAAAGGGATTCAAAAGACCGATTTGCAGTCCGACTTTATCAAAAATGGAAAAAGTGTTGTTATAAAGCTATTTAGAGGCGATTTGCTGAAGCCTGGTTGTTACCCCATCAATGGTTTTATTTTTTTTGTAATAAGCCAACCAGGGTGAAAAAAAGGAGGAAATGAGAAGATCTTATGAAGAAACTGAGCCCCCTGTCTTGGTAACCAGCACTTATGAAGGGTTTTAGATATTTTTCCATATTTCTTTTAAGATGGAGGCTGTCAGTAAATGAAACGCCAGCGACACCTCGGAAGGACTTAATCGGACCCCTGGGAAGAAGGGTACCCCGAACGCGTCTGCCTGTGCCATTTGTACCCCTTGTCCAATTCGTCCGTTCGTTCCAAGAGTATAAAGGTTGAGGTGGATGAGGAAAGCACCCTAAAATTTTTTCCTTTTATCAAGCGGAAAAACCAGCTCCCTGGATAGCTGATGGGGACAATGGAAATGTTGCATTTAAAGGCGATCAACTGAAATGGGGACACTAATTTATGCTACCCACCAGGAAAGTTAATAAACGCATCTTTCAGACGAAAATAGCTCGTATTGATGTGAAAATAAAACGCAGCGGCAACTGTTGCCTTCAAATTACCCGCCTTTCTAAGGCAATTATTTTTTTCAGGTTTGCAGTTTACACAGCATAAATTTGCAGTGAATGTTCGACATTGTGAGTGAAAAGTTTTAAATAATTTAGTGTGGGTGTGTGAAAATGTCGGAAGATTATGGACGTGGACTTGACACCTAAACTGATAAGTTTGTTTAGTTAAGCGGATCAGTCTGATAACATGCCTTCCCTATGTGACCACTCATCCGCGGTGTGCGCTACAGAAGAATTGAAGAACTGGAGGCTCAGGGTATTCATTGAAGGGCTTGCAGCGTTCCATGACTTCCGGAAGAGATTGGAGCTACTAGCATGACCGGTAGGCTAGGCCTCTCAACGGAGGTACAATGGCGGAGCGTCTCAGTGACCCGTTACAAAAACCGAGAGTTCAACAAACAACCGACATATTGTGTCACCCCTCCACTCCACTCGTCGCTCCCCTTGGTCGGTTTCTCGCGTCAGCCGTTACAACGCACTCGGTGCTGCAAGGAGAAACATCCACGAGTCAACCGTGTCAAACGTAGAATTTTCATGCATATGAAAAGATAATTGACTGCAATGCCGCTCATCTGTCTTAGCAATTCTAATGGATTCAGAGTATTGGTGAAAGGTCCGCAAAGAACTCTTTCAGATGATAAACGGTTAGTGCCGCTACGGTTGATGACAGCATTCTTGTAAGCCACGGGACTATCGTGGTTGCCGCCACAGATTCCCCCATTCAAGGCATATGCTCTCCTTCCGCCCTGCGAAGGTTCATCATTCAGCAGTAGAAATCAGGGTATTTGTCATTCTAGATAGAGTTAGCTTTTTGCTGCCATTAGTGAGGCGACCTGAAGACCTCCAGAAGAGATTGGGGCTCCTAGCGTGACCCGTAGGTCAGACCATACAGTACAGGCACGATGGCGGAGGGCCTGAATGGCCCGTTACCAAAACCAACAGTCAAACAAACAATCAATTCATCACAGGGCCATCAAGAGGAGAAGATATTGGAATTAAGTATGGGCAATACAGTTGGCAGAAATTGACGAATACAGAAGGGGATATGGGTGGGTTAGTACTCAGTAGTGTGCTCACCTCCTGCGCAAGGTGATGGAAAGCCTTTCAACAGATCGTAAAAGAGAGGTTATGAGAAGCAAAGTGAAACTATTCATTACACCTTTTTAGCTCACTGTAGCTTTAACAGTGTTTAGCGGCCCATTTGGTTTCAACTTCGACTTCTCGGGGCTTGAAGAAAATTGGTTTCTACATACCTCGTCAATAGTCCTATTGCAAAATACAGGGCAAGTTCTTCTGCTGTAGATCACCCTAGGCTTACCTAGATGCATCAGATGCCTCTCCTGTTGCATCAGGACGTGATACTCCGTTCACTAAATCGGGGTTGCCAATGAAGCACCCTGAGGTGGGCCTGAAGGCATAATGCAGTACAATAATATCATTTTCGAGTTGGAGGAGATCTGGCGGAATATGGATATGGAAGAGATGCCATCGTTGAAAGCAAGGGAGACCAGAGAGTCCACCCAGTCATTCCGCTACCCTCCAGCCCTACAAGCTGACAGTATTCGGCTCTCCCCATCCAATTCGGACCATTGAAGCATTTTATTCCCAAAGGTCCGTAACGTGAACGATGACTATCTCTCCCGCTTAGGAGTAACGAAACTTTTGCAGAGGCATGATTTACGGACTGGTCAAAATTATTTACTCTTCCAAAATTAATTTGTTACAAATCGTGACGGCTCAACCCGTCAGTTCATTAAAGCTGGGCAAATTAAGTATGGAACGATTGAGGCACGAATTGAATGCTGCTTTAATTTCCCGGGATTTGAAAAAGGAAATAAATTACTTTACAGGTTGGAGTTTTGAGTTAAGAAGCTTATTTTAAATTCCAAAAAACCTGTGTTTTTACCCCGTAAGGCAGGACTGTAGCCACTTTAGTTGTCAGGAATACGCCGATTTGATTGGTTGGTATATGATGACAACAAGTGGATCATACAGGTTAATAACAGTCCGCTAGATTTGCTTCACTGCCTCTGGGCCAGCATAATCAAGTGTACAAAGGGAGCCAATGAGAGTCAAAAAGTACAGACTCTCAAAATGTGGACAAAACGGGAGTAAAACTGCAGCCTTATTAACCGGGTACCTGGGGCACTACCTCTCTCTCTCCAGCAGGACTGATGCACTGCGATTTGGATTGAGTCTCCAACCCTAAATGGCACTGTCAAGTCACTTTACGCTTAAGTAGTTCTCCTCCTCCTCCTCCTCCTCCTCCTCCTCCTCCTCCTCCTCCTCCTCCTCCTCCTCCTCCTCCTCCTCCCCCTCCTCCTCCTCCTCCTCCTCCTCCTCCTTTTTGTAGGCGATGCATAAACGCGTGAGGCTGGAGAGGGGCGTGGAGGGAGTGGGAATTTCATTGCTACGGTCTATCGCCCCTCCCGTATTCGCCAGGTGCCGCGAGGAGCAGTGAATTGGAAGCTGATCTAACACCAGCTGATCTAACACCTGTAATGTGAACGAGCACATTTCAAGATATGCTGCTTTACGAGGCTGCAAATACGAGGTGACAAGTTGAAGTTACATTTTCCCATCTCCCCTCCTCCCCCTCCCCTTATTGAGGTGGCTAGTTCCTCGACTTTTTGGATCAAAACCAAAAGGGGAATGGCTTTTAAAGATTTCACTGAGGTCACAGCAATTTTCTTCTCTTTTCAAAGCCTCCTGTAGCTGTCGTTTGAGTAGTTCATCATTGGTGGAAACTTGGTAGTGCCTTTAATTAAACAATTGGGCCGTAATCCCTCTCATTTGTTTCATTCCTCTCCTTTTGCATGTGTGTTTTTATCGTACGTAATTCTTCCTAATGTAATAATTTTTAAGTATGGTAGAAATACTGTCTTTTGTACAGTTTAATTAGAAGACTGCTTAGGAGGGGATGGAGTGGTAGGGTGGATGGGTGGGGTGATTCCGGGATTACATCGCGGCATAGCATTATCGACGCATCAGTAAGTTTGACTTTCTACTTCATTAAACAACACTTTTCCTTCTTTACAAGTACCAAAATCGGATTCTTTTTATTCTTCCGTGCGTTACAGGACATTTACTCTCAACTGGAGAGCTTCTTTTGATGTGGAGGCTAAATTGAATGGTTTCGTGCCTGAACAGCGGACTAAATTTACCGTCTTCTTCTACTGATAATACAAGAGAATATCCACCATGAAAATGCATCATCCTCTGCTATCGACAAAAAATTTTACCTCGAACTATTCCATTCATCGAATTGGGGCGTTACCATTGATGTGACAACGTGTCAAGTTGTCAGGAAGCACTGAAAATCAGTTTGTTGCGCATTGATTAGGTGTGGTTCATCGTTGGCCTTGAATTTCAGCTTCCAGAAGACTTGAAGTCTTCAAATTAGGCTGCTTTTGACAGGAAGGCAAAGCCGTTGAGAGGTGCAGTGAACAAGTTGGTGTATCAATGGGCCATTTGCAAAAAAAGTTCCCAAAATGACTCATTGGCTTTACTTTGCCTGCAGGATTCTTTCAAATGTACATTTACCTACGCTGGATCCTCATGCACTGTGGTTTGTACTGCCGCTTTGACAGAGCAGTCAAAGCAGCCTGATTCTAGCCTTCCAGTTCTCCTTTAAGCTGATAGTAATCCTTCTTTCACAACTGGTATGTCTTACGTCAACTTCAGGAGAACTCGGAACTCCAGTTTGGTGGCGGTGATGAGTGGAAAATACCCCAGTAAAAAAAATCCCTTTTTTGGCTAGTTGCCAAATCTCTACAGTGAACCAGGAACGTAGCCGTTGCAGGCAGCTGAAATGTAGAGAGGATCGGACAGTAAAGGCTAGTGAATGCAGTGACCTGTCACTCAACCCAATCGCTTGGCTCTCCAGAACTGAAGTGGCACATCGCTTAAACTAGAGCTTCCTGTGTTCCCTGTGTAAATATGCATGGTACCATGGTACCTTCTCTACACCTGCCGTGGCTTAATAATACCCAAGCAGGGGGCTGGATGAGGAATAGAGGGACAGAGGTAGAATAGTAGCTCCATAAAGCTACTTTAAATCATTGAATGATGCTGTAGTGCTCCGAGATTGCCGTGACGACGAAAGAAAACATACTACTCCTGCAGAATATATAGTGTTGACAAACAGAAGGGCTCGAAAGATACTGCCATGGCCCAGAGCCTACACTGCCCAGCGGATATACATTGGCGGGGCCCTAAGTGGACTGTTACCGGAGGGGATACAAAACTCGAGATGAAATGTGGTCGATGGAATGCATAAATGGCGTTGGGATCAAACGCCTTCTTACCTTCATGCAAATTTAATGCTCACTGTTCTTAACTCGTGAGCGGTTTTTAAACCACTGGGTGCGTTTTGATGGTCGAAACAGAAGACGAACCACACATAAAAGAGATTTAATTTATGCTTAACTTTGTACTTAACTGCGCGAGCTCTCCGATTTTTTCACGTAGTACTTCACTTCATTCATTGAGAATGGTTGAAGGGTTATTTTGTTTGAAAGGCATCATAAAATTGCAAGAACCCTTGAAATTACCCTAGTCGGTGGAATTAAATTTCATTAGCCGCTGATACGAGGAGGTGAAGCGGTTGGTTTGTTAGAAAACGCTTTTAAGTGGAGCGGAAATTTTCATTGGTTACGGCGGCTATTCAATTTCCGGTAACAGTTGGCATGTCCAATGGTTTTCTTCATTCCCTTCGACTTTGCACCACCACCATCCCTTGCCCCTTCTTTCCTTTCGCCTTCTCCCATCACCCACTCCTGTCCCTCTTTTCCCGCCTCTGGACAATTCAGGAGTGCGATGAACCGTGTCAGTGAGATCCCTTCCCAGGGGCATGCATCACTAGTCAGGAGTAAGAAATGACCAGATTTAGTCCACTTATTCGTGGCGCTACAACTCCATCTCGGGGTAGTTTAGCAAGGCAAGCACAGCCAGTCTGGAGATGGTCAAATTCTTTTTCCCACGTCATGTTGCAGTATCATTTGCCAGTAGGTTCCCCTCTTCATATCCCAAAGAGAAGTAAAAGTCACGAAAATCCCCAAATTTATAAATATTGATGGCCGCATCCGAGGATGAAAGTTTTATTTCTGTGTTGAAAGTTAATGCGGTCTAGAGTTACTTAAATGGCACCACACAGGCCAGTAATGTGATACGTAAACAGCTGTTTCACCTCTATACTTTCAAATAAAGATTTTATTCCAAAATGCACTTTGAAAGCACAAACATTCTTGAAGACTTTTCTTTATCCTCTGATCTTAATCACGGTGCTAATGGAGCCATGAATTTGGCCAGTATGCAAATTTCTACTTAAATCTGATTTTTAGCTGAGGCTAATTTCGAAAAACGATAGGGTGATTTCAGCCATCGAAAAGAGATTAGATGCCTCGTATCAAATATCAAAAGGGAGAGGGTGCGATGTAATGCTCCAAAAGTTTGCTTAACACTGCTTTTGAATACACAGGCAGTTAAAACTGCTTAGATTGTACTTCCACTCAGTCGCGCATCCTCCGAGATATGTCATTACTCTTAGCTCTTCTCTACGTCGGTAGCATGTCTTCAGCCATACTACCATGGCTTCTTACCACTTTAGAGATGGATCGGGGCGCCACATTAACCCTCAAATAACAAACAATAGCAGTAGAAAATCTATAGATAGTTGCTAATAATAGTACGTTTTCCGTGAAAAAACACTATAAGTTGCAGACTTTCTTTTGATTGTTCAATCTATAGTCATCCTAATTCACAGCGTCTTGAAAACTTGTATCGAGGATGTCATTTAAAATGACGAAGGGGTGAAAATAGCACAGCCAGAATTAACTCGTTGCTAATTTACATATTTGGACCCGAATTGTCTTCTACAGAACCGCTATTAACAAGAATATTATCAAATGTATCTTTATTAATGCTTAAACTAAAATGACACTAAAACAAAGTAGTCTGATGGTGGGTAACTTTAAAAGATGGTACCACCACCTACTTTGTTAACGTGGAAAACACTAAGCAGCACAAAATCACTGTGCTTTATTTTTGTTTTGCTTGTCCTCAAGTTTGTTTGTATTGGCGGATCCGTATATAAAAATAACCTTGGGTCACAATCGTGTTTCAGTGGTTCCCAGGACGCTCTTTAGCTGATTTCCGTGGTTCAAAGCGATGCTCTCTCTGCGCACCTCCCGTACAACGATTTTCTTTAACCATATAAGAGTATTTGCGTATTGACTTTATAACATCGAACACTTGAACTTTTCGACAATATTTTTTTTGTAAACTGGAGATGTGTGTTTCAACAAACCTTTTTCGTACTCATACTTTTTACTTGTAGTTGGCCTTGGCTCTGCGCTTTCACTCGTCCCAAAAAGATGTTCCTCTGCTGCCGCCGCTGTGCAATCACTAATCACAAAGGAACTTGACGGCATCAAAGCTGCCGGTACATGGAAAACAGAACGCGTTATTACTAGTCCACAGGCCGCCGATGTTTCCGTCGAAGGCATGAAAGGTGATATTATTAACTTCTGCGCGAATAACTATCTCGGTCTTGCCGTAAGTTTTCTTGCCTTTTGACCATTTCTCGATAGAGTCACCCTCGTGTAGTTGAATCTGCCGCCCAATGCCTCAAAACCCATGGGGCGGGAATGAGTTCAGTTCGTTTCATTTGCGGTACCACCGACATTCATAAGAAGCTTGAGCAGAAGATTGCCCATTTTCATGGCCGCGAAGACAGCATTCTTTTCCCAAGCTGTTTCGATGCCAATGCAGCCATCTTTGAAACTCTTCTCACTCCTGAGGACTGTGTTATCTCCGACGAGCTGAACCATGCTTCAATCATCGATGGCATTCGTTTGTGCCGCGCTAAACGTTTCCGATATCTTCACGGTGATATGAAAGATCTTGAGCGCTGCCTTGAGGAGGCTAAAGATTGCCGTGTCAAATTGATCGCCACCGATGGTGTGTTTAGCATGGATGGTGACATTGCTAAACTCCCGTGAGTGTTTAGCATATATTTTAGTGTTAGTATCTTCTCTCCCATCATTGACTTACGTACCAACCTGTTTAGGCAAATTCTGGAGTTGGCGGAAGAGCATAAGGCCATCACCTTCATCGATGAATGCCATGCTACTGGCTTCTTCGGGGAGACGGGTCGTGGAACTGAGGAGTACTATGGATTGCAAGGCAAAGTGACCATAATAAACTCAACCCTGGGTAAGGCGATGGGTGGCGCTTCTGGTGGTTACACTACCGGCTCAAAGGAACTCGTTGCACTCCTTCGTCAGCGCGGCCGACCTTATCTCTTCTCCAACAGTCTTCCACCTGCCGTCGTTGGTGCAGCCTTGGGAGCATTCGACCTTCTCATCGAGAGCTCTAACCTGCCTCAAAAGCTGCATGCCAATGTCAAACTCTTCCGTGACACAATGACCGAGCGTGGTTTCAAGCTTTCTGTACGTTGAAGTCTTACTCTTTTTTAAAGGTATTTAAAAATGACTTATAATTCCATTTCAAATTTTACAGGGTGATTATTGCCATCCTATCGCCCCAGTAATGCTTGGAGACGCTCGTTTGGCTGCTCAATTCGCCGATGCAATGCTGCGTATGTATTATTTACAGGCATCTAAGTACATGCTTTTTAAACTTCTGCTGATATTACTTTGTTTTCGTTAATCTAGAACACGGCATTTACGTGATCGGCTTCAGCTATCCGGTTGTGCCCAAGGGTAAAGCTCGCATACGTGTCCAGATCTCCGCGGCACACAGCCAAGAGCAAATAATAAAGGCCATTGACGCGTTCACATCTGTTGGAAGGAAGCTCAGTGTCATTCAATAGACTCGCCCCTTATAAAAAGGCCATTAATTAACATTTTGTCATTGTAATCATCCTATTTTGTTAATTGAAAGCGCCTTTTGTAACAGCTTAAATGAACTTTAAGTCCTTTTCGGTCCTGAAAAATTCTCAAGAAGGTGAGAAATATCCCATTTTCACGTCATCGAAGCTTGACCTTAGCATTCCTCTGCGGGATCACATGCTCACTTGCTAGCACCTAGCCGGCACCTTAATTGTTTGCCAAGTCAGGTGCTTTTTGTACAAGACGGCGAGGCTGACGATTTACAGGGTGTTAAAAGCCGGCGAAGTGCTTTGAGGTGGATCATCTGAATCTCGAGTCATACGCCAAATGTAATTGACGTGCTCAAAGTCAATCAGCATTGAGGTTCTTTTGATGTCAACGTCGTAGACTTTGGGTTGATCAGGTCCCCGTAGTCCACTTTACGGGCTGAGCTAGAACCCTTTGGAGCCTCTCCAGGTTCTTGAAGGACAAGAACGTGAGGTGATTAGGGCAGTAGTTGCGTGGATAATCCGAAGGAGATCGCGGGTGCCAAATAAAGTCGTATTTTGTTTTGATTAGGCCAAAAGTAGTTATGACCACGGCGATGTCTGCGGCACCTGTATGAAGGTGGCCATTAAGTTGACACGTGACGCCGCCCTCACCTCTCTACCAGCTGCATGGAACTTGGGTGTGGCTGGGCAGAACCGATGTAAGAATAAAGTGGCAAGGTGGTGCAGACTCAAAAGCCCAGCCACCACGGTACTAGGTTATATGATCTTGCTTTAGGCCAGGGATCGTGTGACTAGCCTGTGATGGCCAGCACATTCTTCCGTCCCCTAATACAGCTTCCAGACAGGATGAACCTCTGGATCCAGTGTAAATTCCCAAGAGGGATGAGTAATGTTGTGCTTAAGTGTCACCCCAGCTCCATGGGATTCCGATGGTTGACGCGGGAGATCGACCAAGGAGAGCGACAGAGACGGCACTCAAAAGAGTAGAGGGGCAACTCAATACCTTGGCTGCTTGTTTAACTCTCGGTTTTTGTAACAAGTCAATTAGGCGCTCCGTCATTTTGTGTGCTTGACGTGTGGTCTGGCCTTCAGACCGTCCCAGTAGCCCTCCCAACCCTTCTGTAGGTAGACAATACATTATCTCCCCAAGTAATACGTATTCTTCTTCAGGATGGTCTCGGGGTAATGCAAAGGGTAGATGACTCTCTTGTCACACCAACAGATTGCCTTAAAAGTTCATGTGTATTTGGGTGTGTTTACGTCTCAAGTCCTTGTGGTAGAGGTGCGGAACCGCAGTTATTTGCATAACATTCAAAGTCAGGTTGACAAGTTAACTACACCCTGGCTGGTTGCAATTTACAACCGAAGCCTGAGTCACCAAACGAACCAATAATTGTGTGCCCACTGTTCTTTTGTCTCGTAAAATGCACCTGTCAAAGTGTCTCCATTAACCGCATACACATTGTGTGAGAGGAATAAGGAGGCACAAATATTTACTCGGCAGTAGAATGACAGAAACCGCGGTGTAGCCATTTTTAGCCTTGAGTTCAGTGGGGGTGATGCTTGACACCCCTCGTTGAAAATTTCAGTCCGCCTTGAAAACGCTCTTCCGTGGTTGAAAACAACCTCCCTCTACTTCAAAGGGTGTGCTCTTTATCTGCAGACATCTAACTTTTAAAACAGGAAATGCCAATCCCGTGTGTATACACTGACCAGTTTGTTGTGTTTCGAGCTCCAATACTGCCCTGAAGACAGAAGAAGGCATAAGTCTCGGCCGGAACATACAGTAGAGTATAGAGCAACTGGTATGGCTCAGGGGCCAGCTCATCCGCCGAAAATAAAAGGTCGGGGGTACCTAAATGGCTCCTTTGCCAAAGCCGAGAGTTAAACAACCAACCAGCGTACTACAATAGCTCCTCGTTAAAACTTCTCAAATGCAATTTAAATTAAAAAGCTTAAATTGAGTCAACTGTACGGGAAACAAGCCCACTAGCTGACAAGTGAAATGCGCATCTATTTGATTGCAATTCTCCATCGGCGATGCGGTATCATGTCGCTGAACTGCCTTCCTCCTATGTGATACACAAAGAGAAACACTGACGGAACTGAAACTTTGTTTTGAGTCTATTTTGGTCCCACCACACCACTATATGGGTGTGGTCTCACCGCAATGCAACGGTCATACGAACAAAGAAATTTACCGGCGTACGTGTCTTGTCATTACCAGGCCTGGGTGTGGTCACAGCACCCTCCTCTCCCCCACACCCTCAACCTATAATCACTGAAAGTGTGCACACAATATCAAGTAAATTGTAGAATCACCAACTCCTAACAAATCGACTGACAGACTTGTTTAGGTTCCATTCAAAAACACAGAGACGACAATGTAATCGGATAGGGTGATCATCACCTTGCTTAATCCATTTCTAAAGCATCCTGCGTCAAAAGCTAGAATACTTGTGTGTGCAAAAGTACACACGATAGTTCGCGTATGTCAAATCGAAAAGTCTGCAAGATTACCGGTTTCCTTTGTTATATCATTTTCTTAATTCTCTTATAACCTCCAAAACCGAAATCGACCATTTGAATATTCCCCCGTAGTTAATCATTGCTAAATAATGATGACATTGTCGGAGTAAAAAGGGCAGAATATTGTTCGGAATGCCTGGATGTTACAATATAATGGGATTTAATACGCGTTTGTTTGGATGGGCCTTTTAAATGGCAAGCTGTCAGATCAAATTGACCTAGTCAGCGTTTTCCGACATGAAGAGGGACACCGATTGACAATAGGGCTTGGATAAATCATGAAAGATTATGCTGCACGGTATTAAGTACCAACCTATAGTCAGTTTTCCCAATCCAAGGGACTTAAGAATAAAACGAAGATAATTCAGCGAACTTCAATTATTGGGTCATGCTGGAGAGGGATTGGAGTTAATTGTAAAACAGACATTGAACTTGTGCAGTGGTAGAGATTGGCAGCTAACAAATGCAAGCACCCTTCTGCATCATTTAAAAGGTCTCAAATAAAAAAATCATTGTTTAATTGATGGTATGTTTGTACTGCAGATGTGGTGGTACATTTTAAAGTCCAACGTAGTTAATCCGCCTCGAGTCAGTTTATGTAGATTACTTCCGAACCAAAATTATGACCAAGTATTGATCTTCTTACTCCATAAACATAGTTTAATAAACAAAACAGTCTTATCTAAACAAATTTCAGTGTATGTGGTTCAATAAGCAATTTGTCCGACAGTAAACATGCTTCCAATAAAAATCAAAAGAGAACAACATTTAAAACAAATTGAAAGCTACATCACATAACACAAGCGTGACTTTTATTGCAAAGTTTTATAGGTAATACACAAACCGAATTTCAGCATACAACATCTATCAAATTTTGGGTATTTATTCACCACCAAGCCTGCAAAAAGTTTTGTAATATTTCGATTAAATTGTAAACCCTACACGCCCTAAGAGACACTTATAAATTGTTTTGTATTTAACATTTATAAGCACTGGTTATGATGATTCGCTTTAGGAAAGCTTGAAAGTAATTAGCTAGTTACCTGGGGCAGCAGCGAAATAGCCTACAAAACATGCTTCTGGTTAATCGATTGCTTAAGCCTCGATTATTTTGTAAGCTTCTCTGTCTCGCTAACGTATTATAGTAAATTTACAAAAATGTCTTTGCGCCACGACCAGCAGACTTCCTGAGTACCGGATGACGGTGGGAACCAACAGCTATTCCTGTACCTTGCCACTCCGTATAATATCCCCCAATATTTTCCCGCACTCTGTCCCATCTCAGCCTGATGATCACATGATTTCATACAAAAATTTTCTTCGACTCCCTACTGGCTTGTTTTTTGATCCGCTTATTTTGCCTCCCCCTGAAAGTGAAGGTGAATACAAATGTGTCAATGACATTCAGAACCGTCGTCGAAAAATGAAAAAACACAAGCGCAGAAAGTGGCGAAAAAAGTTTGCCTCCCTTATTCGCAAATTCCAGATGCAACGTGAGAGGAAAGCTGAGCACAAGCTACAGGAATTGCTTGAACTTTGGCGACGTCGCACTGAAGCCTGGGATCCCGCGGCTAAAGTTGAGCAACGGCTCATGTTCGCGCGCCGTTCTGGCTACTATGTAGATATTTTGTCCTCTCGTGGAGGTCTTAAATGCAAATAAATTATCCCCTTCTACCCTCCCCTTTTATCATTTTCTACAAGTGCGTGCCTGTCCTTAAGGTTTATCTGTTAACTTAAAGGACTCAACAAAGCCCAAGTCGGAGACCTGTAACCCTGTGTCGGACACTGTGGAGGGACAAAAAGCTCTTCTTGAGGCCACTAGTATCATCCGGGATCTCACCTTGGCACTAAATCGGGTATATGAAAACATTCGCGATGTTCAGGGAACCCGACGCTTGAATGCTGACCTCTCCAAAAATTTCAAGGAACGCGTCGAGACCTTCCAACACTGCCGAAATACGGTCAAGAAGGTAGTTGCCGGCACCGAGTTAATTCCTATCTACCTAAAACAGGCAACCTGATCCTTGTTTTGACAACTCCCTTAGACTTTCAACACGGTCTCGGAGGCCTGCTCCCTTTTCGGTATCGACAATCCTGAAGATATCATACCCTACGTAGATGCACCCGAAGTCTCCGCCAATTCGAGTATAAACAACGAAAACGCACTGCAACTGAAAGTTGAGCGCGAAATCCTACTGAAGAAAATCGCTGAGGTGGACAGCGAACTCTTAAGGTACAGAGAAGTCCTCACGTCCGCATTGTGGGAGCTAAACGACTCGATGTATCCTGTCAGTAAGTAATGCCACCACCTCTCTTGTGCATACACTTATGACTACTACTAACTTCAATGAACGTAATTTTAGACTGTCACTCACGTGTTCATTCGTATAAAAATATGGCACTGATTTTCCATATTCATTTGTCTCACAAGTGGGGGAGGCACATGCAAACCAATTGTGGATTAACAGGGATTTGGGGAAGTGATTGAGAGTGTATTATGTAAAGTAAATAAATAATTGTAAGCCCATCACACCAGCTTTTTGGCCAGAAAAAAGGAGCGCAGGTTCCGCATTTGGAAGAAACCAGTAAGAAAGAGGAGGAGGACTTGTGCGACGCTCCACCACGTTACGCGGTTGTTAATACTTTCACTGAGGCGTCGGAAGTACTCTTCTCTGGCCTATAGGATTAAACACGATGAAAAAGTAACGCCAATTATTTTAAATGCATGAGAGACCTTGAGAGAGAGAGTGAAGTCTTACCCGCTGGAAATCCTGGTCTTTCGCAAGAGTCGCAACTTGTTCAAGCAACTGACGAATATGAAGCTCGATTTCATTAAGCTCCTCCTTCGATGCTATCTCCTTGAAATTTAGGGCATGGTCACCAACAGCAATGTCGAGGGTAACACGCTAAAGTCACGTATTAGGTGTGGGATTGTGAATTACCAGGAGGCTCTTAGTCCAGTCAGAGCTGCTTGATGATAGACAAATGCTGTACTCTCCTGCCGTTTGAGAGGTGATAATAAACCGACCCTCTTGTGAATACATCTGCAAGGAAGGGGGGAAAACTGCCGAAATTTATCAATGTCTACTTACACGAGAGAGAACGACATTTCCCTCGGGATCCTTTATTTCCACATGAACACCATGTTTGGGTGAGCGCACAAATTTCTCATCTTGTAATACAGCTATTGAATAAGTACCTACGTATCAAAATAGAGAGTAGATTACGTTATCCCAATTACCAGCAATAGGGGTGTCTTCCGGTACCTCCTCGATGAAGCACTTGGATGTGCCCTCTTTTATATGAAAATATATGGCGAATGTCGATGAGGGAAACAAAAACGAAACCAAGAAAACCAAAACAAATAACAACATATTGTCTGGATGCAACGTGTTATACGAAAGGTGGACTCGAGTTCCCGCCTTCCAGAGAGGTCATTATAAGCAAAATAAAATACTCTTACCATAAGAAAGGTAGTAAAATATTTCTTGCTAGCTATCAATTAGTACCCTTAATGTTAGTGACATTAAGTCACGATTAATATTTATTGATTTGCAACATGAAGCCAGGTCAATAAAGTTCTGAAAAAGGTTTTAGCTATAAAGTGCCAACAAGTAGTAACAAAAATCTATTAGAAGTTTTAAAACTTTAGTAAGAATTTGATTTTTTAAAAAGTCGATCCAATTTTACCTGAAAATGCAAAAAAATAAGGTTTTGACAATTTTGTAAATACACATTAATGTGTGACTTTCCCCAGGCAATGAATTGTTTCGTCTTCAAGTCCAGCTAAATAAGCAGGCAAACCCTCAAAACACAAAATTGAAAAAGTTTGTAGATAAAAAGTAGGTTTTGATGTGGGTTATGAGTCGTCCTTAAACTGGTTGTAATTCGTGACGGGTTGAAAGACCTATCCATAGGGTACAGGAGGCTTGGCAAACTGCAAGCCACATCGCACAAACGGAAGTAAAAATCACGGAGAACGAAGAGCTCAAACGACTGAACGTGTGATAAAAATACCAACATTCTGCTACACTTACTTAAGACTTTTAGTTGGTTCACCATCCTGTTAAATGTCTCCCTTATGATTTTTAATTAGTATCTGTTACTATCCTCAAATTGCAGTTTGTCCACTCCCCCCAGCGTGATTTGGTTTATTTTGAAGAAGTCCTTTAATTTGGACTCAGGACTCATTCTTGGATTCATTTATTATCGACAGACACGGTTGGTTCCTGTCATAAAATTTCTAAGCCTTCATCAGTAGAGCCGTTAATTTTTAATGTATTTTTTGACGGCATATGAATGGGAGTGTGGTTGGTTATGCAGGCTTTTAGTCTCCGTGATTCGGTCAACATTCTAGCCTCGTGGGATCGCCCTCATGTTTTGTTTTTCCAGTCGTTACGAGTGGCTCGGGCGCTACATCAGTGGTGGAGGTAATCAAATCCACTCAAAAATCTTAATGTATATGGCACCAAAACGTCACAGAAGGCAAGAGTTTGCTGCGAACTTAGGCGCACGACAGAAGGGCCTTTTTAACCACCTCGAAGTTCGGCTATCAGCTCGAACTCGAAGGTTGCATGAATGCCGCTAAAATATCGAGATTTATTGAGAACCATTTTTTTTAAGCCAATACCTGTTCAGTTCACATGAGTTCGTAAACGTGTTAACCCTCTTTCCTAAAAATATTTTCATGCTGTGCATCAAAGACAGAATAAAAAAGTTGTTTAAGTAAATAACCGTCTTTAATTTAAGCTTTTTTACTTCTAAATTTATTCCAGGCATCTCGAATGTGTTAATTCCATTTATTGAAAGTGTACTAATAAAATGTCCGGTCCCTTGTAGACTACTTCAAGCTAGAGGACTTTACAAACGCAGATTTTGATGGATGCCGCTGCCTAATTATGGCATCTAATTTTCCTCTTACCTCTTTTATTCTACCCATAGACAACAACTTTCAATGTAATCAGAAAGAAGTAAGTCCACTTCCCCTTCTGTTGCAGTGATCATCCTCGTAGTCGAGTAAGGGAAGTCCAGTTGCACAACTATACACAACAAGGTTGTTCGTTTCTTCTTTTCTGCAAAACTGGTCTACTCAACGAGATGAGGTAGTAGAGCGAACTGGGTGTAGTAAGCGTGGCAGACGGTTCTTCAACACGGACAGAAAAGAAAGAGAGAGAAGACGCACACGCTAAACAGCAACGTGCTGGTTAAATACAGTTACCCACAAAATGCAAGTGGCTTTCCCAGAAGACTTGTATGTACAAAGTTGGAGGGGAGGAAAAGAGAAGGATGGGTGTGTGCATGTGCAAAGGTGGCTCAGCGTTGGGAAGAAGTGTTATCTCAAGCACCTCCAGAGTGCCACAGACATGCACGGAATCGTTGTTCATCAGTTACATGGGATGAAAGTGCCCTGTGCACGGTGGCATGAAGCTCAGAGGGGATTTTAGCCAGCACGGCTTCGCTTTTGGGTATGCGGTTCACGGCTCGAAAAGTACAGGTACTCTGATTGAGGGAGGACTTGGTGCAAAGTCCATATCGGTTGTAGCACTGGCTGGCCGAGTAGGGGTAAGGGCAGGTCTGAGTTAGTGTACCTTGCTGTGGCGGCTCCCAGAAATATGGTCGAGGCTCCTGTAAAATCATGTTCTACACTGTTTACAAAGACACACTCTGTGAAAGTAATTGGTCTAATTTTCCAATTATCAGTTGTTTGCACTACCTCTCTCTTAATTTTATGTTTCAAGTAGATAAAAGCGACCAGTATTTTATTACATATCAACAATACATATGAAAACAACTTACGGTGTGACATTTATATCAAAGGAAGTGGTAAAGTACAGGAAGACTTACTCGACAGGACTCCTTATTGCAATTGTAGAGTCCCAAGAACAGACCAGCGATTTGTGTGACTGAGAGAGATTCAAGGGACACGGAGGCACTACACCGTGTCACAAGAAACATTTGCGTTGTCTGTGGATGGTGATAATGGTGGGTTTTATCACAGCTTGGGGAGCAGAGATGAAATCCTTGAAAAGGTAAAGCGAATATATGCACAAAGTCGTTGGCGCCAAGTTGTACCTCCTACTTTAAACTACGACTCATGGGTAGTTAACAAAGAAGTTGGCTTGGATTTGGAATAAGAGGTTAGGAAAAAGGAAACAATGACTTGGTGTCTGTTTAAAACAAGGCGAAAAAGATTTACTTTCCTTTTGAGGTTGTAAAATGGAAAATTTTTTCACTGGGAGCATATTTTAGAGGGTAAATCCCACTTTTAAGCAATTTAATAAGGTATGGCCACGATTGAAATCGTCGACTAGGGTGTAAGTTTTGGTAAGAACCACAAAAACAGTCCACTCGAAGTCAGGTATAAGAAGCTTAGAATGAAGTGTACTACAGCTTTACATAATAAGAACTGTTGCCTTCTTTGAAGAAATAGACAAAGACAAAACCTCAGGGGACGCTAATTTTAGTGTAATTTGAAGATATTGTTAGGGATATTTTTTAGGGGATTGTTTAATTAAACTACCTAGCCTGACAAGTAAAGTTGTTCACCAATTCAAACTCATCCTAACCACGTAGATCTAAAGGCTTCGGGAGCTCAAATCTCTTGACATTTAATGAGAAATAATTCTGATAATTTACCATTTTGATCATCGAAATTTTTTATTTGCGCTCATTTTAAGGGTTAATGGAATATGAGTGGGTTAATTTGCGCCACGGGCTTAGTAACAAGGTTTTTCATTTGACAAGGCTCGTATGGGAAAACGCCTTGGTTCTATCAGACCATTGTGGTTGGGAAGGGTCAATGGGGCTCTCAGGGTGTGCCAACCTACATCAAATCAAGCTATAAGTGCATTGAATCTAAGCCATACGAGGTGTGGGCATTCGTACCAACCTGTGACTAGAAAATTGGCCTTTTTTGATGGAATCATAGACGGGGTTACACCGCATGCAGCTCCTTGGATGAAGTTAACATCGACAGTTTTGTTCGCCTCAAGAGGTCCCCTTAGGACCTGTTTCACCTCGAGAGATAGGATAGTGCCCGCGAAGTGAAAGAGATTTGGACCACTTGCCTTGTAGAATGTTCGAGGCTTTGTTGGTGCTCTTCCTGCCACGATAACTATAATAATGGTATACTATCATAAAAGATGCAAAAATGCCACCATCTTTCTCTATCTGAACATTTTTACTTAAACTATACTGTTATTATGAAGTCTTGGATATATTTTACGCCGCTGGAAGGGCAAATGGTCTCTGTTCCGATCAAATGAAAGCTTTTTGTCCTGCGGTGACTTTGCAGGAGGAGGTAGTCAAAGAAACTCATCTCACAGGAAGCAATTTTTAGGCTTTAAGTGAGGAACTCAGTGTCAACCTTTACAATTTGATTCGCTAATTTGCATAGCCATCTTGAAAACGCGTCAGTGCCGTCTATGTTGCCCGCTATGGAGTTGCTATTAATCTCCAAAACCATCCTGACTCCATATATCCTTGTTTACCACTTCCTTATCAGTTGGTTTTCCATTTTCGAGAGAAACTAACATCTTAACAATAAACTTTGTTTTATTCTTAAAAGTAGTCCTATTTTTGTGCCTTTCCAAGAAGGGGCTCAACGCTGATTGGTTGGTCTGTGAGTTTGGTATGCTGAAGGACTGTGCTTGCGCTCAGTACTTGGTATGAGAGGCATCAAAGTAACGCTCTAAAATTTGTACAAAACTCGACTTAGTTTAATATCTGCTCACAAAAGCCTTACAAATTAGACGTTTGTAAAGAAGCTGTAAGACCCGAAAATCTACTGTCAGTGGAACGTAATACGCCTTATTGACTACTGAGAATTATTTCAGCGACTCGCTCAGCACCACTTCAAAAGAAATGCCCCAAAAGAATTGAAACATGGCCAAAGAAAGAATCATGAGTGGGTGGATTTAAGGAGTCTACAGAAACTTTGATTTCAACTAGGAGTATTTCCTTTGCCTTTAGAAGGAATAAGACCGCGATCTGAGCTTATTAGGAGCCCTTCATTGCGGAGGGGAAAGTATGCATCGTGGGCACACATATTTAAAGAAACAGTCGCAGACCACGTCGTATCACCTCAAGCCACACTTTTTCCTCCTTGATTTTCTCCATCCTCCTATTCTTACCAAAGTTTGTAAATTAGTCTCAATGGATTTGATGTCACGATTTGAGGGTAAAGCAGTGGATACAGACTGAGGTAGCCCCCTACCTAATGCACCAAAAAACCACATGAAGGGTTAATAAATCACATTAGATAGCATATCTATTTGATCCTAATAGGTAGGGCTTATTGAATGCTAACGTTGGATTCAATACCTATCGTGGGGATGAAAGTCAGGACAATTATTAGATGTCTGAAGGTACCAGAGAGAGATTAAACGATATCTACTATCGAGATATAAGCAAAATTTTACCCTAAATTTTTATTTTTGTGGGATTTTGCCGTGCAATTTCAGTGCTTTCGGCATACAGAGTCTGTTTAAAACCTCGCTGATGCTATTTTTTCAATTTAATGCAATAAGTCCTTGTGCTTAAAGTAGTGACCTTAGTTCTAGTGAGTTAAAACAAAACAAGTGCCATGGAATGTGGTAAACTTAGCCAGGAAAGCGGGTGTGCATAAGGTGGGTTTGTGTTGTATCTGGTAAGCCCATGAAACCTGAGATCTGGCCACGAAATTTGCGGGTGTGCCATTTAAACTAGTTGGTGTACTGACGTCGGTGAAGGCGGATTTCATCCTCTAAACACATGCACACGTACACACAGCCACTTATCTGGTCACCATCAAAGAGTGTGTTCGGGTGGGGAAATTCGCATCCCTGGCTTGAGCCCCGAAAGGCTTCGTTAGTGCTGACCTGAGGTCAGGTGATAAGGGGGATGGCTTAGGATATGGATGTGAGGAATTTAACTAAGCTTCGGAGTCGGCTTCACGACCGTCCGAATATTACATTGAATGACAAGTGATTGACGCAAAAGGCAGAAGTTGTTTGTCAAAATAAGTTTAAAGATGCACAAAAAGTGGAGCTAACTTGACATTGTCACGTGTGGATAAAGCGACCAAAATGCTTCCTTATATTATGTATGCTGATAACCTTTTTTGCTTTACAAATTCCAGAGGCCTAAATGCAGTAGAACTTCTTTGCCAATGTCTGGAGAAAGGGAGATGTAAACTTTCTCTTACATTGGAATTTATTCTCAGATAACTCTGCCAATTCTTTTCCTGTCTTTAAAATCACACAGCAAAATAAGTTCTTCATTTTTATTTGTGAAGACAAAATTCAACGAGTTATTTCCTCTCCCCCCCCTCCCCCCTCCTCATAACTCTTACGCTGATTGACAGTCGATAGGGAGAATGTCATCATCCAGAGGAGTACACCCGCATTTTTTAGTTGTTTGAATTTGTTTACTAATAAATAAGCGCTTCTAATGTAAGTAAAAAATACAGTTTCCCTCATTAAAAACTTTAGAAAGTCAAAGTCAAGTTGCTAGGCGCAAAAAAATTCCATTAGACAGAGGGGGTGTCAATAAAATCTGATGTACCTAAATAATGAATAAATGATAAGAATAAATGATAAAACACTTTAAAATCAAAAAATTTCTCTTGCTAACTTTAAAAACAACTTGGAGTTTCTTTGAGTATTTCGATCGCACAGACTAAATCACACGAATGAATTACGTGGCCACAAAAAATTGGACCTGAGTCGTGACCTACCGAAGTCTTGTCTGCAGAACCTACTCTGGAGGATGTCATTGCCACAAGTACAGTAGGACCGCGTGTGTTGCCGCATGTGGGCCTCCAGTTGATCTCGATCAGCAGCAAAATCGACTGCTGTGTCGGGGGTTCTATAACTGGAGGAACTCCTCTGTCTGTAGGCGCCCGTTCGACGTGGCATCAGAAAGAAGAGAAGCACACAGGCTGTGGTGAAATGCACTCCCGAGATCAGGTAGCCAGGTAGACGACGCATTCTATGTGAGGCTTAATTCTCACCTACGGGTATACGACAGCATTGGGAAGGGCATGGGAGGAGTGATGCAAGTGAGTGAGTGGAGATGAGTTAGGACATTCAAGATAAGGCGAGGGTAATCTCGAGAACTGGAGGTTTCCAGGTCTTCCGATTAAATGCGCGTTCGAGCGCACGTGCGGACAAAACTCGGCACATGCGTGTTGCGGCCGACCTTGACATTGTGGACCAATCAGAGGGCAGTACATCAGTGCAGTCGATCAGCCACCAAGCCACTCCAAAACGATTAACAAAAACGTCGCTTTCGATGGGTTTGTGTATTTTCAAATTTGTATTTACTTTTTGCACTACCCTGTGAGCGCCTTACATTCACCTAGTCTTTGATCTGCCAACCACTAATGGTTAAATTATTCAAGCGATGTTACCCCACTCTCTATTAGTCTACCTAGACAATTTTACCTCGTTTCCCCTACCACAAGATTACTTTGGTTTTATAATGGACTTATACTGATTTGAGTAGCAGTAGCACCCTTAAGAGTGAGTCCAGTAGACCTGGATTTCCCTACTTTTTCGAGCTAATTCTCTTAATTCCAACATTTCTCACCAACCGGGCTCGAGAGGGTGATATTCGCTGGCTTTTGATTCCTACTTCCGTCTCACACTCTTACTGAGTGCCTCTTTGTTGTCATGATAATGACAAAGACGACAAAAGGAACTGCTTATTAGAAAGTCGTGCAACTAAGTGAGCTTAGGCCCCACCGTAAACAAAAGTCGTTGTTGAGGTCAGTCTGAGGACTGGACGGAGTGCGTGACGAAATTATTTCATCAAAGACCTTAAAGTTGAATGATGGAAGGTAAAATCGGTGACTAAGGCGTTGCGTCAATGCCAGTGAACAAGAAAATGTTACAAAATAACTTTCTTTGTGTTATTCAGTACCTTAACTGACCTTTACCCCCAATCACAAACTTTCTTTATCACTTAAAACTCAT